TTATATCACCGTTTAGTACATATTCCCTTTATTTTATTTTATCATCATTTAGTACATATTCCTTTATTTTATTATATCACTGTTTAGTACATATTCCCTTTATTTTATTATATCACCGTTTAGTACATATTCCCTTTATTATATCACCGTTTAGTACATATTCCCTTTATTTTATTTTATCATCATTTAGTACATATTCCTTTATTTTATTATATCACTGTTTAGTACATATTCCCTTTATTTTATTATATCACCGTTTAGTACATATTCCCTTTATTATATCACCGTTTAGTACATATTCCCTTTATTTTATTTTATCATCATTTAGTACATATTCCTTTATTTTATTATATCACTGTTTAGTACATATTCCCTTTATTTTATTATATCACCGTTTAGTACATATTCCCTTTATTATATCACCGTTTAGTACATATTCCCTTTATTTTATTTTATCATCATTTAGTACATATTCCCTTTATTTTATTATATCACAGTTTAGTACATATTCCCTTTATTTTATTATACCACAGTTTAGTACATATTCCCTTTGTTTTGTTATATTACCGTTTAGTACATATGCCTTTATTTTATTATATTACTGTTTAGTACATATTCCCTTTATTTTATTATATCACCGTTTAGTACATATTCCCTTTATTTTATTATATCACATTTTAGTACATATTCCTTTATTTTATTATATCACTGTTTAGTACATATACCCTTTTTTTATTATATCACAGTTTAGTACATATGCCTTTATTTTATTATATTACTGTTTAGTACATATTCCCTTTATTTTATTATATCACCGTTTAGTACATATTCCCTTTATTTTATTATATCACATTTTAGTACATATTCCTTTATTTTATTATATCACTGTTTAGTACATATACCCTTTTTTTATTATATCACAGTTTAGTACATATGCCTTTATTTTATTATATTACTGTTTAGTACATATTCCCTTTATTTTATTATATCACCGTTTAGTACATATTCCCTTTATTTTATTATATCACATTTTAGTACATATTCCTTTATTTTATTATATCACGGTTTAGTACATATACCCTTTTTTTATTATATCACAGTTTAGTACATATTCCTTTATTTTATTATATCACATTTTAGTACATATGCCTTTATTTTATTATATTACTGTTTAGTACATATTCCCTTTATTTTATTATATCACTGTTTAGTACATATTCCCTTTATTTTATTATATCACTGTTTAGTACATATTCCCTTTATTTTATTATATCACAGTTTAGTACATATTCCTTTATTTTATTATATCACCATTTAGTACATATACCCTTTTTTATTATATAACATGTTGGTACATATTCCTTTATTTTATTATATCACAGTTTAGTACATATTCCTTTATTTTATTATATCACCGTTTAGTACATATGCCTTTATTTTATTATATAACTGTTTAGTACATATTCCCTTTATTTTATTATATCACATTTTAGTACATATACCCTTTTTTTATTATATCACATTTTAGTACATATTCCTTTATTTTATTATATCACCATTTAGTACATATACCCTTTTTTATTATATAACATGTTAGTACATATTCCTTTATTTTATTATATCACAGTTTAGTACATATTCCTTTATTTTATTATATCACCGTTTAGTACATATGCCTTTATTTTATTATATAACTGTTTAGTACATATTCCCTTTATTTTATTATATCACTGTTTAGGACATATTCCCTTTATTTTATTATATCACATTTTAGTACATATTCCTTTATTTTATTATATCATCGTTTAGTACATATGCCTTTATTTTATTATATTACTGTTTAGTACATATTCCCTTTATTTTATCATATCACGGTTTAGTACATATGCCTTTATTTTATTATATTACTGTTTAGTACATATTCCCTTTATTTTATTATATCACATTTTAGTACATATACCCTTTTTTTATTATATCACAGTTTAGTACATATTCCTTTATTTTATTATATCACCGTTTAGTACATATGCCTTTATTTTATTATATTACTGTTTAGTACATATTCCCTTTATTTTATTATATCACCGTTTAGGACATATTCCCTTTATTTTATTATATCACATTTTAGTACATATTCCTTTATTTTATTATATCACCGTTTAGTACATATTCCTTTATTTTATTATATCACCGTTTAGTACATATTCCCTTTATTTTATTATATCACCGTTTAGTACATATTCCTTTATTTTATTATATCACCGTTTAGTACATATACCCTTTTTTTATTATATCACAGTTTAGTACATATTCCTTTATTTTATTATATCACAGTTTAGTACATATTCCTTTATTTTATTATATCACAGTTTAGTACATATTCCTTTATTTTATTAAATCACGGTTTAGTACATATTCCTATATTTTATTATATCACCGTTTAGTACTTATTCCTTTATTTTATTATATAACTGTTTAGTACATATTCCTTTTATTTTATTATATCACATTTTAGTACATATTCCTTTATTTTATTATCACCGTTTAGTACATATGCCTTTATTTTATTATATAACTGTTTAGTACATATTCCCTTTATTTTATTATATCACGGTTTAGTACATATGCCTTTATTTTATTATATTACTGTTTAGTACATATTCCCTTTATTTTATTATATCACCATTTAGTACATATACCCTTTTTTATTATATAACATGTTAGTACATATTCCTTTATTTTATTATATCACAGTTTAGTACATATTCCTTTATTTTATTATATCACCGTTTAGTACATATGCCTTTATTTTATTATATAACTGTTTAGTACATATTCCCTTTATTTTATTATATCACATTTTAGTACATATTCCTTTATTTTATTATATCACGGTTTAGTACATATACCCTTTTTTTATTATATCACAGTTTAGTACATATTCCTTTATTTTATTATATCACATTTTAGTACATATGCCTTTATTTTATTATATTACTGTTTAGTACATATTCCCTTTATTTTATTATATCACTGTTTAGTACATATTCCCTTTATTTTATTATATCACTGTTTAGTACATATTCCCTTTATTTTATTATATCACAGTTTAGTACATATTCCTTTATTTTATTATATCACCATTTAGTACATATACCCTTTTTTATTATATAACATGTTGGTACATATTCCTTTATTTTATTATATCACAGTTTAGTACATATTCCTTTATTTTATTATATCACCGTTTAGTACATATGCCTTTATTTTATTATATAACTGTTTAGTACATATTCCCTTTATTTTATTATATCACATTTTAGTACATATACCCTTTTTTTATTATATCACATTTTAGTACATATTCCTTTATTTTATTATATCACCATTTAGTACATATACCCTTTTTTATTATATAACATGTTAGTACATATTCCTTTATTTTATTATATCACAGTTTAGTACATTAGTACATATGCCTTTATTTTATTATATTACTGTTTAGTACATATTCCCTTTATTTTATTATATCACCGTTTAGGACATATTCCCTTTATTTTATTATATCACATTTTAGTACATATTCCTTTATTTTATTATATCACCGTTTACTACATATACCCTTTTTTTATTATATCACATTTTAGTACATATTCCTTTATTTTATTATATCACCGTTTAGTACATATTCCTTTATTTTATTATATCACCGTTTAGTACATATTCCCTTTATTTTATTATATCACATTTTAGTACATATTCCTTTATTTTATTATATCACTGTTTAGTACATATTCCTTTATTTTATTATGTCACTGTTCAGTACATATTCCTTTTATTTTATTATATTACTGTTTAGTACATATTCCCTTTATTTTATTATATCACATTTTAGTACATATTCATTTATTTTATTATATCACAGTTCAGTACATATTCCCTTTATTTTATTATATCACCGTTTAGTACATATTCCTTTATTTTATTATATCACCGTTTAGTACATATTCCCTTTATTTTATTATATGACATTTTAGTACATATTCCTTTATTTTATTATATCACGGTTTAGTACATATTCCCTTTATTTTATTATATCACTGTTTAGTACATATTCCTTTTATTATGTCACTGTTTAGTACATATTCCTTTATTTTATTATATCACGTTTAGTACCTATTTCTTTATTTTATTATATCACTGTTTAGTATCTTTCTTTATTTTATTATATCACTGTTTAGGACATATTCCCTTTATTTTATTATATCACATTTTAGTACATATTCCTTTATTTTATTATATCATCGTTTAGTACATATGCCTTTATTTTATTATATTACTGTTTAGTACATATTCATTTTAGTTTATTATAATATCACCGTTTAGTACTTATTTGTTTATTTTATTATTTCACTGTTTAGTATATATATTCCCTTTACTTTATTATATCACTGTTTAGTACATATGCCCTTTATTTTTTTAAGATTTTATTATATTTTATTTTAATATATTTAATATTATTATATTATAATTTATATTATTATATTTATTATATATTTTATTATAGTATTATATTTTATTATATTTTATTATATTATATTTTATATTATAATAAAATATATTATATAATATAATAATATAAAACAAAATATAATAAAATATAATTTATTATATCTTGTTATATTTTTTATATTAAAATATTATATTTTATATTTTATTATATTTTGTATTATATTTTATTATTTTATTTTATTATATTACATTATTTTATTATATTATTATTATTATTATATTTTATTATTATATTTTATTATTATATTTTATTATTATATTATATTTTATTATATTATTATATTATATTTTATTATATTATTATATTATATTATTATATTATATTTTATTATTTTGTAATATTTTATTTTTATATTATATTATATATAATGGCTGTTTGTCACAATTCTCTCATTATTTTAGTTCAGATTATTTTGGTCTCCGGAAAGATGGCCGCCATCCCTTGCTTTAGGTACAGGTGTCATCAGACAGCGTTTTTCTCTAGTGTGTATTACTCTCCGGCATCATACAGGAAGTGACGTCATCTTCCCGCGCTCGCGCTCTGTGATTCGAACTCTGACCCCGAGTGATGGAGGCGGCTGAGCAGAGGGAGACCGTCATCCGCGAGCTGAGAGCCATCCAGAGCAGCACTTCCGGCCTGTGAGACCCCCAGCCACAATAATAACAATGTAACAATAATAATAATAATAATATATACTGATACAATGTAACAATAATAATAATAATAATAATAACAATGTAACAATAACAATAATATATACTGATACAGTGTAACACCCAGGGTATAATATATACTGATACAGTGTAACACCCAGGGTATAATATATACTGATACAGTGTAACACCCAGGGTATAATATATACTGATACAGTGTAACACCCAGGGTATAATATATACTGATACAGTGTAACACCCAGGGTATAATATATACTGATACAGTGTAACACCCAGGGTATAATATATACTGATACAGTGTAACACCCAGGGTATAATATATACTGATACAGTGTAACACCCAGGGTATAATATATACTGATACAGTGTAACACCCAGGGTATAATATATACTGATACAGTGTAACACCCAGGGTATAATATATACTGATACAGTGTAACACCCAGGGTATAATATATACTGATACAGTGTAACACCCAGGGTATAATATATACTGATACAGTGTAACACCCAGGGTATAATATATACCGATACAGTGTAACACCCAGGGTATAATATATACTGATACAGTGTAACACCCAGGGTATAATATATACTGATACAGTGTAACACCCAGGGTATAATATATACTGATACAGTGTAACACCCAGGGTATAATATATACTGATACAGTGTAACACCCAGGGTATAATATATACTGATACAGTGTAACACCCAGGGTATAATATATACTGATACAGTGTAACACCCAGGGTATAATATATACTGATACAGTGTAACACCCAGGGTATAATATATACTGATACAGTGTAACACCCAGGGTATAATATATACTGATACAATGTAACACCCAGGGTGTAATATATACTGATACAGTGTAACACCCAGGGTATAATATATACGGATACACTGTAACACCCAGGGTATAATATATACTGATACAGTGTAACACCCAGGGTATAATATATACTGATACAGTGTAACACCCAGGGTATAATATATACCGATACAGTGTAACACCCAGGGTATAATATATACCGATACAGTGTAACACCCAGGGTATAATATATACTGATACAGTGTAACACCCAGGGTATAATATATACTGATACAGTGTAACACCCAGGGTATAATATATACTGATACAGTGTAACACCCAGGGTATAATATATACCGATACAGTGTAACACCCAGGGTATAATATATACTGATACAGTGTAACACCCAGGGTATAATATATACTGATACAGTGTAACACCCAGGGTATAATATATACTGATACAGTGTAACACCCAGGGTATAATATATACTGATACAGTGTAACACCCAGGGTATAATATATACTGATACAGTGTAACACCCAGGGTATAATATATACTGATACAGTGTAACACCCAGGGTATAATATATACTGATACAGTGTAACACCCAGGGTATAATATATACTGATACAGTGTAACACCCAGGGTATAATATATACTGATACAGTGTAACACCCAGGGTATAATATATACTGATACAGTGTAACACCCAGGGTATAATATATACTGATACAGTGTAACACCCAGGGTATAATATATACTGATACAGTGTAACACCCAGGGTATAATATATACTGATACAGTGTAACACCCAGGGTATAATATATACTGATACAGTGTAACACCCAGGGTATAATATATACTGATACAGTGTAACACCCAGGGTATAATATATACTGATACAGTGTAACACCCAGGGTATAATATATACTGATACAGTGTAACACCCAGGGTATAATATATACTGATACAGTGTAACACCCAGGGTATAATATATACTGATACAATGTAACACCCAGGGTATAATATATACTGATACAGTGTAACACCCAGGGTATAATATATACTGATACAGTGTAACACCCAGGGTATAATATATACTGATACAGTGTAACACCCAGGGTATAATATATACTGATACAGTGTAACACCCAGGGTATAATATATACTGTACGTACCTTACCAAGTATATATATACTATTACAGTATTAACACCAGGTATATATATACTGATACAATATAGCACGGGTATATATATACTGATACAAGTGTAACACCAGGCATAATATATACGGAACAGTGTAACCCAGGGTATATAGTACTAAGTAAACATAATATATACTGATACAGTAATAATACGTGAACACCCAATATATAATAATATATATGATACAGTAACACCCAGGGTATACGATATATATAACTGATACATAATATATACTGATACAGTGTAACACCCAGGGTATAATATATACTGATACAATGTAACACCCAGGGTATAATATATACTGATACAGTGTAACACCCAGGGTATAATATATACTGATACAGTGTAACACCCAGGGTATAATATATACTGATACAGTGTAACACCCAGGGTATAATATATACTGATACAGTGTAACACCCAGGGAATAATATATACTGATACAGTGTAACACCCAGGGTATAATATATACTGATACAGTGTAACACCCAGGGTATAATATATACTGATACAGTGTAACACCCAGGGTATAATATATACCGATACAGTGTAACACCCAGGGTATAATATATACCGATACAGTGTAACACCCAGGGTATAATATATACCGATACAGTGTAATACCCAGGGTATAATATATACCGATACAGTGTAACACCCAGGGTGTAATATATACTGATACAGTGTAACACCCAGGGTATAATATATACTGATACAATGTAACACCCAGGGTGTAATATATACTGATAGACACAATAATATAATATATATTTTCTGATACAATGTACCAACAATAATATAATATATACTGAAATAATGTAACAATAATATAATACAATACAATATATATACTGATACAATGTAACAATAATATAATACAATATAATATATATACTGATACAGTGTGTAATATAATATATATAGAGAGCAGCACTGCCAGCCTGTGAGAGAAAACAGCTAATATACTATAACTATAATATAACTGATACAATGTGTAATATTATATATATATATATAATGTAACTAATACAGTGTGTAATATGTAACTAATACAGTGTGTAATATAATATACAATGTATGGGTGGTGGATATAATGTAGCCCAGAGGAGCTGTGTATGTGTATATTCCATAAAATAAAGGGTTATAGTCACAGCTACTATATTATATAATGTATGGATGGTTACTATTGACCTCTAATGGGGCCCAGAGGAGCTGTTCACCTGTATATTACATAAAATTTTCTTAGATCACACAGTGGCTGGTTCGGGGTTTTGGGAATGTAGTCACCACAGGCTAAGCATGTCTACCTGACAGAGTAATGAGACTGTGACAATGTTTGTTGTTCTGTGTCCAGTATTGTATCTTTCACTTAGTCTTCTTTTAACTTTAATTTCAGTGTAAAATCTCTGAGAGTGCTTGTTAAATTCACAGATCCTGAGAAAGGAGAACTGAGCCAGGCCCAAAACCAGGTAACATGAAAAGAGAGAACATATTTTACTTTATCAATAATAATGTAACTAGACACTGTCTGGGTTATTCGGTATTAATGTAACTAAACACTGTTAGTAATAATGTAACTAGACACTGCCTGGAAAACCAGGGGAACAGAGGAAAAAGGAAAAGAAAGTAGGGGGGTAGGTAGTAGGAAAAAGGGGAAAAAACTAGACGGGAGGGAGGCAGAGGAAAAATAAATAAAACTAGGGGGGTAGGTAGTAGGAGAAAATGGAAAAACTAGGGGGACGGGATCAGAGGAAAACTGGGGGGGATGAAAAACTGGAGGGGAGGAAAAACTGGGGGGGAAGAAAGCTGGGGGGCGAAGGAAAAAAAGCTAGGGGGAGGGGGCGGAGGAAAAGGGAAAAACTAGGGTGGGCGAAGGAAAAAGGAAAGCTGGGCGAGGAGGGCTAAGGAAAAAGGAAAGCTAGGGGAAGGAGGGCGAAGGAAAAAGGAAAGCTAGGGGAGGGGGTTGAAGGAAAAAGGAAAGCTAGGGGAGGGGGTTGAAGGAAAAAGGAAAGCTAGGGGAGGGGGCAAAGGAAAAAGGAAAGCTAGGGGAGGGGGGCCAAGGAAAAAGGAAAGCTAGGGGCATGGGGGGGCAAACGAAAAAGGAAAGCTAGGGGGATGGGTGGCGGAGGAAATAGGAAAAACTATGGGTTGGGTGGTGGAGGAAAAAGGAAAAACTATGGGTTGGGTGGAGGAGGAAAAAGGAAAAACTATGGGTTGGGTGGCGGAGGAAAAAGGAAAAACTATGGGTTGGGTGGCGGAGGAAAAAGGAAAAACTATGGGTTGGGTGGCGGAGGGAAAAGGAAAAACTATGGGTTGGGTGGCGGAGGGAAAAGGAAAAACTAGGGGTTGGGTGGCGGAGGAAAAATGAAAAACTAGGGGTTGGATGGCGGAGGAAAAAGGAAAAACTAGGGGTTGGGAGGCGGAGGAAAAATTAAAAACTAGGGGTTGGATGGCGGAGGAAAAAGGAAAAACTAGGGGTTGGAAGGCGGAGGAAAAACTAGGGGTTGGGTGGCAGAGGAAAAAGGGGAAAAAAAGAGGGAGGCCCTTGTTTCTACAGTCGTTTTTAAACAATTTTTAAATGGTTTGATGCTAACCGGTTGTGCCAGTTATCGAACACTTCATCAGAGATAATACTAAAGAAGAAATTCCCTTTCTGCATAACCGATAGATTACCATCCATGTTTGTTTTAGGTTTGATGCTAACCAGGTTTTCGCATCCCTTGCACCTGATTAAAGATATTGCCAAAGTAGATAATGTAGACATTCCCGAGTGATAGAAATTTCATGCAGATTTGTTTGGAATTGACTGACTGAAAGTATCACCTGGCACTCACAGTCAATGAATTTGTTCATACGTAGAACGTATTTAGTGATAACTCTGAGGGGTTGGAATTCATGCACCAGCACTTAGTGTTAAACTGTTTGACACATAAGACATGGTAACAGGGACATAGTGGTGCCATAACCATTACAGGATAATCTGAGCACCATAACCACATTATCGGGATGTAGTTGTTCTGGTGCTTAAAGTGCCTTTTTAAGCAAAACAAATTAGACCCAAATTGCTGAACTGGAGCAATTCTTCAACACGGCACTTTTCAAACTATTTCTTATGGTGTGCAGTTTATTTCTATGAATAGGGTCCAAAATACTTATTATAAAAACTGCCATTCTCAAGGAGAGAAGATACTGCGATGGTCACGTCCAGCGGGAATGATGGCGTTCCAGTGGAGTGCTGGTGTCCTTCTTACTGACATTATTATTAATATTTTATTATATATATATATATATAGCGCCATCACATTCCATAGCGCTGTACATGTTGCTTTGTTGTGTATGTTCAGCTGGTTAAACTGGGTTTATTTTCTCATCAGGTGTTGGATTCTTTGACTGTTTGGAAATCTCTCTTTGCTGCAGCCGCTCCCCCTCCCACCACAACAACCTGAGCAATGTCTGATCCAAAAAGAAAGGACAACCCCACTCAGCCATTCAGTGCTTTTGCCTTTGAAGCCCGTGCAGACCCTGACACCCTTTCACTCAGTGATTCAGATCCTGAATTATCAGATGAAGCTGATGTTGCGTATAATAGTGCAGAGGAAGAAGATGATTTAGAAGATGCTGCTGAACCAGATAGAGTAGAAAGGCCACCTGTAGTGCCTTTCACTTTAAAGGGAACCGATGCTACTTTTTTTCAGCGTAGCCAAGGCATCTTTGGAGCCCTGAAGGAAGTGCAAATGCATTTGCCTCCTGGGCAGAAAATTGAGAGAGTCAAACATCAGAGTAGCTCATCGGATGATGAGGCAACCGAAACTCCCAAGCCAAAAAAGCCATTAGAGAAAAGTCAGTCAAAGGATATCACAGATTCTGATTCACCAAATGCTGGTAAATCTGGTCAGGTGTCTCAGCAGTCAGGTGCAGTAGATACAGCAAAGTCTGCTTCTACAATGCCAGACTACTTGACACACCCAGAGCGCTGGACTAAATACAGCCTGGAGCAAGTGCCAGAATCAAGTGACCATATCAACCGTAATGCTGCCCTGAGTTTCTTAGCAGAGTTAAAGCAGAAAAAGGATGCTAAGACTGTGTCCCCTGATCCATGTTCTCTTCCTTTCAATCAAGACTCTTCCAGCAGTGGAGGCGGAAGGATTCTTTTCTCAAAGCCTCTAAAGGTTGCTCGGGGCATTGGTGAGAAAAGCGAGTCACACTCACCACACCTGAGTGTTTCTGGAGGATGGGAAGAAGAAGTGCATGAGAAGAGTGAGGCAACAGCGGATACGGCAGAAAGCTCCTCCTTGGGGTTTCATGGAGTAAAAAAACGTAACCGAAAAAACATCCGCACAAAAGCCAACTTAAGTGGAGAGGAGAACTCTGAGTGAATACTTAAATTGAGATACTCTGCTCCAGAGTAACCCATTGTATGATAGTAGCTTCATTTCCTCTGACTTGTGTATAAAGTTTTGCAGTTTTATGATGCTTGTTGTTTTTTTTTTTTTTCGAGATTTACCCCTTCTGTTATTTGAACAGATCTACAGTGTTGTTGAAAGTTTTGAAATCAAATGAGAGCAGGTAGAGGAAATGTAATGCTTTCCGTCCCCATATTAAAATGACTTCTAGCTGTGTATGGATATACAGGCTTTTACACACCTGGTTTGCATTGCTGCATATAGCATTGTTTGAAGCCCACCCTTCGTTACTGAAAACTCAGCCTGCCTTGTACCCGTCTTTATCCATCTGTTTTATAGTGACTTCTATTAAATGTTATAAAATATTAGGGAAATTTATTTTTGAATCTTTACCACATGTCTAATTCAATGATAATATACTCTATCTGGACCCAGACCTTGAAATAACTAGGGAGTATGCGAATATTGCTATGAAAGCTAAAAAGTGACATTAGAAAATGATTTATGGAGAGTTCCTTTGTGATTGTGGGGGTCTTTTTTTGTTTGTTCGTTTGATCACTGGAAAGATGCCACTGTGGCTCAAACGACTACATTTAATGATGGTCATAAAAGAACTCAACCAGTGTATGTGCCTTTAACATAGGTTTGGCAGATATTACCCAATTTCAACCAGAGGCAAACGAAGTATACATGACAATTCACTCTAATGCAAGCTGTTATTGATTAATTGAACAAAGGGTGTGTGGCTAGCCATGGAGGTGCCAGCGTTGTTGTAGAACTTACCTTTCCTGTCAACTGTTTGAAATATTCACCCACATGTCTGTTTGCTTGACCGAGGGATTAGTCCCTTTTATTCCAGCACATTCACACAGCCTGGGTATGCAGTGAATTTCGGAATCTGACACACATTTTGGGCAGGTAGAATATCCAGTTGATTCCTGCAAGCTGCATACAGGTGTTAATTACTTATTCAGTGCATCCATTTAATAAAATGACATACCAGGTGGGTTTGACCTTTTATATTTAAATGTTACACTCACACACTCCCTCCCAATGTGAACAAAGCAATAGGTGCTGAATCCAAGCAAACAAGGATTGGCACGATGGAAATGAACAAAAAAAAATAAGGAATCCACTTTTATTTTATTAGAATTGTTTCAGTATATATGCTATAAATTGTTTAGGGTGGGGGTGGGGGGGAATTAAAGGATACTATAATAAATAGGGTATAACAAGTCAATTATCATAACACGTGGCCTTTTGGAAAGCCGTAGAGGATTTTCACAGATAGTGTAGAAATCCTGTGTAAGGCCTTTGAAGGGCAGAAGGAGCTCGTACGCGGAGCCGCTGTTTGAAAGATTTTGGCGTTCTGACGCCATTTAAACAAACTATCTGTGCCCCTCTCTGCCATATGCCTCCTAAGACTGGGTGAAATCATAGCTAAACATTCTATAAATTAGCGAATAATGGACTTACGGTTGGTATTATGATACCCCCCTTTCCTGTTTTTGCAATTTATGGCTTTATCTTTATATTTTGTTCTTTTTGCACATGTAACAAGGAGACTACCTTTCTCTCTACGTATCTGCTAGTTGATGGACATTTGTTTCATCCCTGAGGGGTTTTTCAGTGCATTTTGTAATGGATGTGGGTAGAGTGCGATTTTGTTTTTTTGAGGCTATCCTCTATGCAGCATTTCAGCAGTATTTGTTAAAATCATCTATTGCTTATCCTTTGAAAAAGCCCATGTGTTATGGTAAATGTCCTGTTATTCTGTTGATTGTATAACATTTGGAGCGGTTTGTGCACCTACCTTTATTATATTTATTATATTGGGTTCACCCACATTATAAACACAGGGAGTGCAGAATTATTAGGCAAGTTGTTTTTTTGAGGATTAATTTTATTATTGAACAACAACCATGTTCTCAATGAACCCAAAAAACTCATTAATATCAAAGCTGAATATTTTTGGAAGTAGTTTTTAGTTTGTTTTTAGTTATAGCTATGTTAGGGGGATATCTGTGTGTGCAGGTGACTATTACTGTGCATAATTATTAGGCAACTTAACAAAAAACAAATATATACCCATTTCAATTATTTATTATTACCAGTGAAACCAATATAACATCTCAACATTCACAAATATACATTTCTGACATTCAAAAACAAAACAAAAACAAATCAGTGACCAATATAGCCACCTTTCTTTGCAAGGACACTCAAAAGCCTGCCATCCATGGATTCTGTCAGTGTTTTGATCTGTTCACCATCAACATTGCGTGCAGCAGCAACCACAGCCTCCCAGACACTGTTCAGAGAGGTGTACTGTTTTCCCTCCTTGTAAATCTCACATTTGATGATGGACCACAGGTTCTCAATGGGGTTCAGATCAGGTGAACAAGGAGGCCATGTTATTAGATTTTCTTCTTTTATACCCTTTCTTGCCAGCCACGCTGTGGAGTACTTGGACGCGTGTGATGGAGCATTGTCCTGCATGAAAATCATGTTTTTCTTGAAGGATGCAGACTTCTTCCTGTACCACTGCTTGAAGAAGGTGTCTTCCAGGAACTGGCAGTAGGACTGGGAGTTGAGCTTGACTCCATCCTCAACCCGAAAAGGCCCCACAAGCTCATCTTTGATGATACCAGCCCAAACCAGTACTCCACCTCTACCTTGCTGGCGTCTGAGTCGGACTGGAACTCTCTGCCCTTTACCAATCCAGCCACGGGCCCATCAAGACTCACTCTCATTTCATCAGTCCATAAAACCTTAGAAAAAATCAGTCTTGAGATATTTCTTGGCCCAGTCTTGACGTTTCAGCTTGTGTGTCTTGTTCAGTGGTGGTCGTCTTTCAGCCTTTCTTACCTTGGCCATGTCTCTGAGTATTGCACACCTTATGCTTTTGGGCACTCCAGTGATGTTGCAGCTCTGAAATATGGCCAAACTGGTGGCAAGTGGCATCGTGGCAGCTGCACGCTTGACTTTTCTCAGTTCATGGGCAGTTATTTTGCGCCTTGGTTTTTCCACACGCTTCTTGCGACCCTGTTGACTATTTTGAATGAAACGCTTGATTGTTCGATGATCACGCTTCAGAAGCTTTGCAATTTTAAGAGTGCTGCATCCCTCTGCAAGATATCTCACTATTTTTGACTTTTCTGAGCCTGTCAAGTCCTTCTTTTGACCCATTTTGCCAAAGGAAAGGAAGTTGCCTAATAATTATGCACACCTGATATAGGGTGTTGATGTCATTAGACCACATCCCTTCTCATTACAGAGATGCACATCACCTAATATGCTTAATTGGTAGTAGGCTTTCGAGCCTATACAGCTTGGAGTAAGACAACATGCATAAAGAGGATGATGTGGTCAAAATACTAATTTGCCTAATAATTCTGCACTCCCTGTATATGCTATTTTTATAGTATACTTTGTTTTTCAAATAATTTATAGCATATATGAGAAAACTAAAGCAATTCTAATTTTTTTTTTTTTAAAGTCAATTATTTCACTATTTTTATTGGATTCTGTGTACAACAAGCATGTCAAATTCAAAGGCTAGCAAGTGCCATATAAACAAGGTTTAACCCCTTAAGGACCAAACTTCTGGAATAAAAGGGAATCATAACATGTCACACATGTCATGTGTCCTTAAGGGGTTAAGTGGGCCACAAAACAAAAATGAAAATTTTCAATGAAATGTAGGTTTATTTTGAAAAGTACAGTATTAAAAACAAAAAAAGACAACCCCCCTCTACTACACCCCAGTCCCCCCTCGTCTACTAAACCCCTGCCCCTGTTCACACACACACACAGACAGCCATATATATTTATATACACAGACAGCCACACACACACATTTCCCCTCAACACTTTTTTTTTTTTTTAAATTATTATTTTAATTTAAATCCACCCAGCTTCCCTACCTTTAGGAGAGCTGGGTGGATTTCTTACCTGGTGTCTAGTGGGGCTGCTGGACATTCAGGCAGCGAGGGAGCATTGATTTGTGAGCGCTCCCTGCTCAGCTCCCTGTGACATCATATTCCGGCTCCCGGCATCACTGCGGGAAGCTGAGCAGGGAGAGTTACACTCAGCTCCCTCGCCGTGGGCCGCGAGTTTGACATCCATGGTCTACAATAATCACTTAATGTTCTGCTGGGATTATCCTCGAAACAGTACTTCTGGAAGTTTTAATTTGTCTGTTAGTTTTGTTTTGCAGAAAGATAAACAATGTACAGTAAGTTTTATTTTTTTTTCTCTGAGCGAAAGTAAAATATGGCAGATTGGAGGAAGGGTGAATGGAGCAATAAAATGATTCATAGAAGAAAAAAACAAACAAATACGTTCAACTAATTAAAGAAATACAAAGCTGTATTTCTAACATGGTCTCAGCATTATTTAGGGGACAAAAAGTCCATTGACAGCCACTAGAGGCACAATGTAATCATTGCAGGACTAAGTGGGACAGGGATACTGCACCCAGACCACATCAGTGAACTAAATGGGATCTGGGTCAATATAGTGTCCCTTCAAATGGCAGGATTGTTCACTAAAGTAAGAATTGCTGGGAATTCAAAGTCAACATAACCCAACTGAAAACAAAATTGACTTCTAGAATTTTTATAAAATGGCTATTTTTGGCTCAATTTTGAATTTCTCTTTTAATTTCTTTGGGATTCATGGCAATTCTCAGTAAGTGAATAATGCTCAACCTGTCTGATTATATTTTGTTCATAAAATGAAAAGCATTTTTGCGATACTCAGAATTGCACAGATTGCTCACATCTTTTCCATAAAATTCACAAATAGCAATTCCGGTAATATCTCTCTGTGTCCATTTTTTGCAGTAACTAAAATTCTGCAGCAATAACTTTCTTTCTTAACAATTAGTGGACTGCTGACTCTATAAATAGCACTATTTACGTGCTCGTCTTAAAGCCAGTGTAGTTGTCTTTGCCAAGTGTTTTTATTGGGGAATAAAAGTTAAATGTAACATGCACATGGGATATGCAGACTTGGTGCTGATCCCATAAACATGTCTGAAATATTATTTTCCCCTTCCTTGTTGCTGCTGAATGACCTAGATCAGGATGAATGGTTTATACTGCTCTTGATTGACCAGAAGAAAGCAGTGTAATGCCCTGCTACTGCACCATACTGAAAATAAGGCTGAACTCCCCATAGGCTAAGGGTACCACAGACCCAAGTATGTCACAAAAGTAAAATAAATGTCCAGTGTGACGGGGACAGGAAAAAAGACTTGGGTAATGGTGTCTCTCTTGTATTGTTTAATTAGGGGTTCCCGTCCAATTAAGCGGTAGGAGTCCTATGCCCATTTGTAGTGCTGCCATGGATGCATCCAAGAGAGAATTTTCCCACATCACCTCTTTTTTCATTCTAATTTCATTTATCTACAATTCAAAGTTAATTGAATCTGACCAGGTAAATGACTTCATATCCAGGAAATTCACACCTTACCAACAGCCCATGTGACACGAAACACTGTCCTGGAATCATTGTGTAAGAATGGATGGGAGGAGAAAATTAGGACTGCATATACTGTTTTTCTTTGGATCCAATAACATCACAGCTTCCTTTTGGATGTGAAAATTTAAAGATGAAATGTCTGTGCTTTAGGAACATCTGTCCTGTCTGATATAGAATGACTGTATTGTACAGGTGCGCTACGACCGGTTCTGAAATTGCCAAGTCGGCAGTGTATTCATCCTTCACTGGTTCTTTCAAATACAGAAAGGAGAATGTTTTAAAGGATCTGCAGTATGTACGGCTAAGATGGGTGTGTAGATTACTGGTTTTTCAAGTTGTGTGAGACTGAACTTATCACTATGCTTGGTGCATGGCAAGTAATATACAGTAAGTGCAAACATGCAGTACGCTACAATAGCTATCAGTAAGAAAACAGACACGAGTTGGCACTTTTCTTAAGAACTAATCTAATATGTCTGGGTGTGAAAACATTTTGGGATTTTAATATAAGTTTTATGTAATTATTAACCCCTTAAGGACACATGACGTGTGACATGTCATGATTCCCTTTTATTCCAGAAGTTTGGTCCTTTAAGGGTTAAAGCATATTATTCATTAAACTCCAAACTGTGTTAAAGACACGGAGGCGAGTATTATGCTGCACTCTTTCTTTAATTCCTTCAGCAGCAAAGAAATAACAAATGCAAAATAGAAAAAACAGGTATAAACATCACAATGACAATATCCGCATAGTAACATGAACATCCAATTAGCGACATCTTTATCCTATAGTAGGCGGAACATAGGGGACCACTTCCTCTTTCTTTGCTGCTCCCTCAGTTAAGTACAACCTATCTCACTGTTTTACTAACTGTGGGATCTTTATTTCATTGTGAATAAAACTTTGATTGCTGGTACTTTAGTGCTATTTTATATATGTGTTTATTGAGCTTTACAGTAATATTATGTAGACTGGTTTTCCCTCCCCTCTTTTCCCTATTGGGGTTTTTTCTTTCCCCTCCTTATTGTCCTTCTGCGACTTGGGCAGACCTTTTGGAGGTTTCTTCTACTTCCACTGCGCTACCGTGCTGTCCACTTGGTTCCCCCCTTGTTCGCAACCTGCTTGCTCTCTGCTCCGTTTCTCGGAGCTGTCTGTTTAGCCACACATGAGCGTTCCGTAAGGAACACATTTGGCGGCCATCTTGTAATTCGACAGTTTGCCGCGTTTGCGTTCATACAAATGCGAACACATTTAGAAACTTATTCTCATTATTCCAGTTGCTTTGGCAGTCAATAATCCTCACTGCCTTACTTGATCACGCAAACACCGTGTTGGGCTCCCAAACGCGCGTCCGAGCACTGTTTAACCCAGCCGCGGAGGCCATATTTTTATTTCCGAACTCCATCATGGCGAACATTTTTTTCCGCTTTTTTTTCTTTCTTTCTTTCTCTGGACCGCCCCCTTCTTCCCTTATGGGAGTTGGTATCCAGTATTAGTTAGTGGTCGGACGGCTCTCTGTTTGCTCCAGCTCCCCTCTTTACTTTTAGTGCATTTGTGAGTAATTCTTTCTACGTTCCCGAGGGTTACTTAACCCTGGGTTTTTTAGTCAGTTCTCTGTAGGTATTTTATAATTAGTATTAATTCATATTACTAATTATTATTAATTTGACTAACTGTTAATGATTTTTTTTTTTCCCTACCCTATATCACTATACAATCTTCTAGAGATGTGCCTACACCCTCTGGGTCTCAAATTGAACCCCAAGTTCCCTTGGGACACCCCACTGTAATTTCTGGGGATGAAGCCGAATACACAGCTTCTGTTGAAATTCAGGCGATCATTTACACTACAGTGTCTAAGTCCATGTCCAAGGCCCTGGCATCTGCCATGGACATTATGTCATCTATTTCAAAGTCCTTTACGCAGGCCTTGTTACAGGCCCAATTGTCGGTCCCTCTGCCCTCTGGGCTCTCTGACGGCTGTGATACCGCCTCCCCCACGCCCCCCTGCAAGGCCTCGGCTAAAACCAAGCACTCATCCAAAACTATGATGATGGACAGTTTAAAACCTGTCATAGATGGCACGATTATGGAACCACTGCGCAAGAGAGATACTAGCCGTGCAAAAGCAGCTAGACATTGGAAATGGGCTAAAACCCAGAGTGATTCCTCTGAGTCGGATCTCAGCGAAGATGAGGAGAGTGCTCTAGACTCTTGAGTCGGACCATTCTGATGAGTTATCCGACCTTGATTTGAATTCTAAATTTGAGGAGGATAATACCACCCTTCATGGCATAAATGCCACTGATACCTCTGGAACAGAGTCATCTCATCCAGCAATATCCAAGAAGGATAGAATAATCTGTTTGACCCTGATGATTTACGCCACCCCCGCTCGGCAGAATGGTCGCCAGTCAAACATGTGGCACACTATATTGCTGCCCGGGTCCGCAAGCCTCTTGGTAAGGCGACCCGTAATAAATTGCAGGCGGAATGCCCACGTCTTACTGTACCAGACGATGTGTGCAAGATGCCTCACGTCGACCCCAAGACTGTCCAATTCTTGGGCAAAACAGGATGGCGACCCAAGAAGGGTTTGGACTTTTCCCTGCGCAGCTGCAAGGAGAAAGTTTTAGATATTTTGGGTCCAGTGACCAAGATCTTCGAGGCTGTAGAAGAATCTTTGGCTCAGGACGATGTATTAGATGGTCTCACCATTAGGGGTTGGATACAGACGTTGATCTGCTTGATTGGCAATTCAAACACTGTGCTTGCCACAGAGAGTAAATCAATCCTCTTAAAAATTGAACCAAAAACTAGTTAGTTAATCTGGCAATTACAGAGCCAGGCGCTCAGGCAAAATGCTTCCTGTTCGGTGAGTCTTTTGTGAAAGACCTGGGATCCTATGTCCTGACATTCACTGTCTTAGACAAGGCACAGACAAATATGAGTAGGGTGTTCCACCCTAAAGTTTTTCTGGGCCACGCGCAGAACAAGGGGCAGTCTGTCCGGCAGAGTTAGTAGAGGTTCACAACGTCCGAACTGAGCCTCCTACATGGGGAGACACCCCTTTCAAGAACAGAGGTCAACACCGACCTTTTTCCCTCAACGAGGCAGACCCTGGATGTGAAGAGGCACGTGAGGCGCTCCTATGGGACAACGTCCTTACAGTAAGCTACTACAATCACCTTTATTCCCTATTGGTAGTAGGGGGGAAGAATCACCCTCTTATTACTTCAGATGTGTGGGTACTCAGGGCTGTCAATGGTTATCTGATAAATTTTGCTTTCCTTCCTACCCAACATTCTCCCCACAGGGGACAATGTTTCCGAAGAGATGATACAAAGGTGCCATCCATGAAGTCCCAATGCAGAACCCGGGTTTCTAGTTCCCAAGAACAGTAATAGTGGTTTATTTTACATTAGTTGGGAGGGACAGATCAGCCCCAGTAATAGTGGTTTATTTTACATTAATTGGGAGGGGGGACAGATCACCCCAGTAATAGTGGTTTATTTTACATTAGTTGGGAGGGGTTGGGGGGGACAGATCATCCCCAGTAATAGTGGTTTATTTTACATTAGTTGGGAGGGGGGGACAGATCAGACCCAGTAATAGTGGTTTATTTTACATTAGTTGGGAGGGGGGGCAGATCAGACCCAGTAATAGTGGTTTATTTTACATTAGTTGGGAGGGGAACGACAGATCAGCCCCAGTAATAGTGGTTTATTTTACATTAGTTGCGGGGGGACAGATCAGCTTCAGTAATATTTTAAATAGGGCGATTATCTTCATTTCAACAGGGAGTTAAAACTGTCATGGCTGAATCTGTTTTTTTAACCCCCCCTTCCGACTCCACTACATCTAATTGTCCCCTTAGTCACCCCAAATGCCCCTCCATCTTACCTTTTTTTTTTTTGTGCCCGGACCTTGGTCCTGGGTGCCGCCATCTTTGTTTGGGTAGATGAAGTCTCTGTGGGACACGTAATCTGTCCACACTAGATAGTGCTCGATTCTCGCACATGCCCAGTTAAACAGTAAACGCTACGGGAATTTAATCTATTAATTTGTCAGAAAGACGAATAAATGAATAGAAATTTCAAACGAATGAACGAAGACTTTGTTTGGTTTATTACAAGGAGGGAGTTACCGGTGTGCAGCTCCCTCCTTGTAATATGTACAAATAGAAGCGGCAGGGAGCAGTGCTCCCCACCACTTCCTAAGCCCCCCATGTCCTCCCTCAATATGACCCCCATAATAGCATAAGGGAGATTAAAATCTCCCGAATGCCCCTACTCGCTATGTTGTAAAAAAATAAAAATGTCCCACCCCTTCTAAAAAAAATGGCCCCATGGTGGGACATCTATTAACTAGGAGGAGGGGAACATAGTGTCCCCCGCTGGTGGGGGTTATGAAACTACTAAACGGGGCCCCTACCTTCCGCTCATCGGGGGTGGGGGACTTATAAAGCCTTGCCCCACCCTGCAATTAGGCTCAGAGCGCTCTGATTGGTGTGTTTAAGCCAACCAATCAGAGGGCTCTGACAGGTAAATGAAGAGACTGATACGTAAATGTAGAGACTTACCGGTCACGGAACTCTGGTTGGCCTGAAATCCACCCAATCAGAGAGTTATGAGTCAAATTACACAGCATGGGAAAATTCCAAAGAACTTTCCCATGCTGTGTAAAATAACACAGAGCACTCTGATTGGTTGGCTTAAACCAACCAATCAGAGCACTCTGAGCCTAATTGCAGGGCCTGGGAAGTCTTTGTAAGCTTTCCCTGCCCTGTGGAGCTCAGTCTGGGCCGTGCCCTCGCTGGGTGAAGAATTTTTATTTTTCGTCTGATTTTTTTTTTTTTTGCATTCTGGTTTTTATATTTTATAAGTTCAAAGGTATTATGGTTTTTTTATTAGGCCTTTTTTTTAGTAAAGAATAAGACATTAAATGGTAAGTATTGTATTTATTTATTTACAGGGATTTAGAAGTATGGCCTCCCTGTAACGGATCGCGTGGCACCCCGACTGGGTACCTCCATTGAAGGATGCTCCTAGCGCTTCCTGAGGGCTCCAAGCACTCCAGCCGACACCATAACCACCGTAGACTCCTCCAGAGAACAAGACAGGAACAAGCTCTAACAAGAGCTTAGTAATGATCTAGCCAGGGAGTATGACAAGCATAGCAATCCCTTGTAGCAGATTCCCCCAATAAGAGACGGCACTCCAAATTGAGGGTGAAGTAGAACTGAACTTTTATTCAAACACTCTGCTTTTATTCACATTCTACAAACATAGTACTGCCCACAGGGTTTTGATGTACAACCAATACATACAATACACTCAGACACTCCCACACAAAATCCTCCCTTCTGCCTGTGATATAATTACTGAACACAATGGGCTAATGTAATTATCACAGGCAGGAACATTGACAGTTTTGCACAATATTCATAACTCCAAAAGTATACATCACATTCACATAAAACTTATATTGTCATACTCCAAATACAAACATAAGTCAAAATCATACAAATTGGTCCAGTGGGTCAAACGCTAGTTGGAAGTCCCTTTGTGACCGCCTGCAAGCATGGCTTGGGTGTGGTAAGTCAATTACCTCCAGCATACAGAAAATAGCTCTATTCACAACAGTAAAAACACATAAAAATACATAATTCCTATCGTGCTGAACAGAACCCCCACATTCAACCTATCCCCAGATAGCTTGGATCTGAGCGCTCACTATATCAAAAAAGGGCTCAGATCTCACGAACACAGTCAAATCGCCATGGGGTTAAACCATAGCAAGGGCTGATGTGAGACAGAGGAGGGGCAAAACAGCAGTTTCCCTGGGACAACGCCCTGCTGGAGAACAATAGACAGGAAACGTGGGAGGGGCACACGTAACGGGCTGCCATGTATTCAAAGGGGCAGAAAAAGTGTTTAAAAATGCAATAAGCCCAAATAAGTTTATTAAAGGGCGGGGGGCGGGGGGGTATTTTCAGATTTAGCACCCAT